GTATTTTTCATAGTCTTATATTTCAAAAGTTTTACGACAAACTGTGACTTTTTTGACATGGAAATCTTTTTTTTAGATTGACAAACGTCATATGTGTAATTCGTGGCACAATTCAAACGGGATCGAAAGATAATCTTTCTCTCTCCATTGACTTCAATAAATAATTTTTCCGAAATAAGGTCCCACGGGTCGGAAGTAGATGGGCGGGACTTCGCCTCTCTATCCTGTAAATCAGGGAAGAGTGTTTAATGTCTTTTCCCTTAGTTTCAGACATGTTACTCAAGGACAAATTTATTGAATGAAATACTGGTGTAATTCTTGTTTGGCACTAATGTACAGATACAGTACCTGCAAGCAAAATAATAAGATCACAATTTACTCTACAAAAAATAGTAGTCATGTTGTGTTTTTAACAATGGGTTATGGGTTTGTCAATACAATACTGTTAAATATAGTAATAATGTGTTTAAATACATTTGAAATGTTTAGTCAATTATGCCTTATTTACAAACTAAGCACACAAAGGTTCAATCCACACAAGTATTCATAATTCTTGTAGATGTAATTGTTATGCTTGCTCTGTTTCTGCGTGTGCTGTAGCTGGCAGTAATGTGATGAAGTCCATCCATGGAGTCGGGGAGCTGATGACTCAGGTGGTGTTGCGAGGAGGCGGCTTGTTGCCCGCAACGCCAGCTCATCAGCCGGAGGGAGACGTGGTGAAACCTCAGGTGGAACCAGAGAGAGAGGACATCATGGTCATGGACACCAAGCTCAAAGTCATCGAGATTCTGCAGGTAGGACATCAGGGAACTGGCCTCTTGCTTGGCGGCAAACACTTTTGTATGTATAATGCATACTTATACATTACTTGTGTTACTTTTCCTTCAGTTCATTTTGAATGAACGGCTAGACTACAGGATCTCCTGCCTGCTGTGTATATTCAAACGTGAATTTGATGAGAACAACCCACAAGACGCCTCCAATAATGTCACAGGTCAGATGCCAGGTGAGAACTAGATTCACATTAACATTCTGTCACACATACATGTTGAAATTGATTTCCTTCAAATATGGATTCTTTGTTTTGTTCTAACGACTCCAGGAAATTTTGACTTTGAGAACATTGAAGAACAGGCCGAGGGGATTTTCGGCGGAAGGTAATCAAAAGCTTCCTAGTCTCTCCCGAGTCATTTTGAAATAAGATAAAGCAGAAAGAGTTTATGTAATCTCTCCTCCTCTGAATTTCTAAGTGAGGAGAACACTCCACTAGACCTGGATGACCACGGAGGTCGTACGTTCCTGAGGGTCCTGCTGCACCTGACCATGCACGATTACCCTCCTCTGGTGTCTGGAGCTCTCCACCTGCTCTTCAGACACTTCAGCCAGAGGCAGGAGGTGCTCATGGCCTTCAAACAAGTACGTCTCACACCTCTTTAATACTTTATTTCCGTTCTAATGACTGATAATTGGATGAATGTAAGGATTTCTGGGTTTAAATGTAGACAAATCTTCCCCTAAATGTAGGTCCAGCTGCTGGTGACCAGTCAGGATGTGGATAACTACAAGCAGATCAAGTCCGATCTGGACCAGCTGCGCTCCATCGTAGAGAAGTCCGAGCTGTGGGTTTATAAGAGACAGGGAGAAGACGGGATGGACGGAGACGGACCCTCAGAGTCTGACAACAAAAAGAAGGTTCAACATTTAGAAAAATAAGGAATATACCAATATAGATAGTGGCATAGTAAGGCTATAAAACCTAACTTATCCTTGCTTATTTAAAAGGGAGACTCCCCTGGTTCAGACAAGAAGAGCTCAGAAAGCACCAGCAGTTACAACTACAGGGTTGTAAAGGAGGTACGTTTATTTGTGTTTGAATATTGTATTGTTATGTTCTTACTGATTTGTTGCCTGCAGTTGAAACCCCTCTTGTGTTCAGATTCTGCTGCGTCTCAGTAAGCTGTGTGTCCAGGAGGGCAGCTCAGGGAAGAAGAGCAGGAAGCAGCAGCAGAGGCTTCTGAGGAACATGGGAACTCACAGTGTCGTGCTGGAGCTCCTGCAGATCCCCTATGAGAAGGTGCAACACTGCGGCTGAATATTATATTATTAGCATATGCAGAATAATAGGAAAGCTTTAAAGGGACATGTCAGCCCTAAAGGAAGAGTGAGTTACCGAGTGTTGGACATATTGGCTGTAGAGATGTCGTCCTTTCCTCCAACATAACAGAGCGAGATGGCACTTTGTTTGCGTTTCTCAAAGCCACAAAACTCAACAGTATCTTTCCAGAAAACATGACCCGGTCACTCAGAATATTCAACAAACATCGTTGAGAGCAGTTTCATACAGGAACTACCTTTTACCGTAACAGTGTCACCACACAGAAGGAAGTGGGCAACTACTGCTCACGATAAGGTCTGTGGATTATCTTGAAACTCTGGGTCATGATTTCCACAAAGAGACATTGCTGATGTGTTTTTCACATTATTTGTAGCTTTGAGCACCGCAATCGAAATGCAATCTAGTTCCATTTTATTCAAGTGAAGGCAGACATCTATCCAACATTCATGAACTGTAGCGCGACAGGTATATTTATTTTTCAGTGTAAACTATCCCTTTTTAAAGACCTTCATAGTTGTTAGACCTTGCCATTTTCTGATTGATGTGCAGTAAATAAAAAGTATAACTCTGTTATCTGCGTTAGGGGGAGGACGTCAGAATGGAGGAGATCATGAAACTGGCTCATGAGTTCCTGCAGAATTTCTGTGCAGGAAATCAGCAGAATCAAATTCTTATGCACAAACACATCAACTTGTTTCTCAACCCAGGGGTGAGTAAAACAGGCCTCTCGGGTTTACTCATTGGGATCGATTCGTGCAGTTTCTAAAATGCAATCTTCTGGAAAAAATGTCCTTTCTGTCCCTTCTTTTGATACTCCATCAGATTCTCGAGGCCATCACCATGCAGCACATCTTCATGAATAACTTCCAGCTGTGCAGTGAGATCAACGAGCGAGTGGTGCAGCACTTTGTCCACTGCACCGAGACGCACGGGCGACACGTACAATATCTCAAGTTCCTGCAGACCATCGTAAAGGCCGAGAACAAGTTCATCAAGAAGTGTCAGGACATCGTGATGGCCGAAGTGGGTCCTATGATCTTCATACTGTATCTGAGTATGCTAATACACAGTGATAGTGAGATAGTTGATAGTGAGATAGTGAGTTAAAATAAAGCAGAAAGACAGATGTGTTGGTAATATCAATGTGTGGGTGGTTGTACTTATTGTAATAGTTGTGCAAGGAGTGAGTCCTTAACCCAGAAATGAGTTAGCATTTAAGCACGTCTGGGCTCTCATGTTGGATCAACACAAGCTTAATAGATCTTCACATGTTGCTCCAAGTCTTTTATGGTCTTAAAAAAAAAGCAGTTGCTAACAGGTGGCTAAGTGAGAACACGAAATGTCATCACGGCGAACATTAGCCGCTTTTAGCTTAGCCAGGTAACCGCAATGTAGTTCATTTTAAGCATAACGTTAGCTGTTTGCTTCTGTGCATTGCATTTAAGCTTTACAAATATCAGTTACATAAAGTATTAAGAATGTGTATTTGCCAAAGATCTGATTTCCTCCAATATTCCAATTTTCCAATGGAAAATAACGTTTGCTTTTTGCCAAGGGAGCCCTTGTTGGCGATACGTACTTCTGGGTTAGCCTAGAAAAATAAGTCATCATTACACCACTCTATATGAGGTTTAAGGTTGACAGACGTACTGTAACATTTCGTTAACAAGATCATACTCTCTCCTGTTACTCTCCCCACTCTCAGCTGGTGAACTCGGGCGAGGACGTCCTGGTGTTCTACAACGACCGGGCCTCCTTCCAGACCCTGGTCCAGATGATGCGTTCAGAGCGGGACCGCATGGATGAAAACAGCCACCTGATGTACCACATCCACCTGGTGGAGCTGCTGGCCGTCTGCACGGAGGGCAAGAACGTCTACACCGAGATCAAGTGCAACTCCCTGCTGCCCCTGGATGATATCGTTCGGGTGGTCACACATGAAGACTGTATCCCTGAGGTATGATTAATGAGGTTTAAAACTGTCTTCAAATGTCTAAGTGTTGAACATGAACACTGATGCATCCCAATGACACCTAAGTCTTCATCATTTTACCCTGAGCCTGATGGCAAAACAAACTTTAAAGGAAACTTTATTAGTGTACTACTTCTCAATATACATTAATATAATAATTACAAAATACAGAATCAATCAAATATAGGCTGTAAAGGGAGAGCCAACTTAACCAATTAAAGTCCAAGAACAAGGTGAGATTATAATGAAAAAAGATAATATGATAAATATTTAATGGGTAAAATTATAATGGTAGTTTTAAGCTAAATTAACCCTGCAGGAGGAGGAAGATGTCAGCAGTAAATTACAGTTTAAAACAGACAAAGAATATTACATTAAAAAAAAATGTACTTGTTACTTTTTAGACACTTTTATCCAAAGCGACTTTCATACTCAATACTGTGGACAATCCCCACAGGAGCAATTTGGGGTGAAGTGTCTCAGGGACACAACGACATGCTGACTGCAGTGGGGTTTGAACCTGTGCTCCCCTGATCCGAACACCAACGCACTAATCCACTGCGCCACACGCCTCCGTGGAATATGTTTCAAAATAATTGCGAACCAGCCACGAGAGGTCCTTTTAGCCTAAAGTCATACATGTGCACAAAAACACTGATGCTAATGGGTCCGGAAGTAGGTGAGGGCAAACACAGCGATGCACACACATGGCCTGACACATGATGCCCCTGCAGGCTTTTACCCCGCAGAGAAAACCAATAAAATACAAGTGTATACAGCTACACAGCATGTGCATCCTGTGTAGCATACTCTTCATTTGTATGAACACATGTCGAGGGAATTGGCTGTGTGCCAGACTTCACGAACGTGTCTTCAGCTAAAAAGCTTTTTCCTTTGGGTCCGAACAGGTGAAGATTGCCTACATCAACTTCCTGAACCACTGCTATGTGGACACAGAGGTGGAGATGAAGGAGATTTACACCTCCAACCATATGTGGAAGCTGTTTGAGAACTTCCTGGTGGACATCTGTCGGGTGAGCTGCAACCTGTTTGTGTTTCTGCTATCAGATGATCGATAGAGGGGAGAGTGCTTTACATAACGTCATGTGATTGGGCGATTACGTCAACCCAGTGTGCAAACAACATAATGTTACCTGTCGCCAACATGCAGGAAGTGTGATCCAATGGCTCGTCACACTAATATAAATTGTTCTGTCCTGTACCTAGGTGTGCAACAACACCAGCGACAGGAAGCATGCAGATACCATCCTGGAGCGTTACGTAACGGAGACAGTCATGAGCATCGTCACATGTTTCTTTAGCTCCCCTTTCTCTGACCAGAGCACCAGCCTGCAGGTAATCTGGAATGCAATTGCCTTTAAAAGTCTATAACACCATGTACATGTTCATTTCAGTAGAAGTTAAAGGAGCCCTATTATGCTTTTTTGGGGTTTCCCTTTCCTGTAGTTTGTCATATAGGTTTTTATGCATGTAAATAGTTTGCTACGGCTAAAATTCCTAAATTGGTGTCCTTCCGTAACATAGTGACATCACTATGTAACACGTGACCTTCTATTAGCTAGAGCTCCGACAAAATGCATGTGATAGGCTAAGGGGCAGGACATCTCTTAACGGTTGACCCATCACAACAGAGCCGGCCATTTCTTACTTCATAGTTTTTCATTTTTTTATTTGTATCTTTGATTTGATCTGTAATTGTATGAATCTGTGCTGTCCTGTTTTTCATCCTTACCCTGTTGCTGTTTGAACTACTGCATTTCCCCACAGGGATTAATAACGGTCCATCTTATCTTATCTTAACCAATCAGAGCAGACTGGGCTCTGGTTTCAGACAGAGGGTGAAAAGAGGTGCTGCAGCACAGGCAGTATGAGAAGAGCTTTTTGAACATTTAAAGCATGGAGACATGTCCCAGTAGAGACACAACATACAAATATGAACCTGAAAATGAGCTAAATATGTCCTCTTTAAGTTGTTTGACTTGAGAAACCCTGCTCACATACCTAACATTCAATATTTCTTTCTGTATAGATGGCTCGCCGCTTATATGTGAGTAATGGAAACTCCCCCACATTTAGTTTCCCAACCCTTTGGTGTTTATCTACAGTATCTTTTAAGGAGTATCTTCACTGTGTGGGTTGTTACGGTTTCATAGCTTAGTCAGCACACAGACTCTGCTGTTCCCAGATCTGTGGGTGTGTTGCACAAGGTTTTGGCCGTCCTGTGGTCTGCATTTTTCCCAGTAAATCATGACCATCATCAGCCTTCATAGATTTCCAAATCCCTCTTACAGTAAAGGTGGTGTGTAGCATTACAGTTCAAGCCAGATGTACTCCTTGTTTTCTGGTTATGTGGAGTTGTTTAGTTCCAAGTTGCCCCCTGTAGAAGTGGTCGATCCCCCATTTATTTACCTTTCTGAGAATTCTGCTTACTGAGCTTTATCAATACATGATACCTCTTTTTCTCGCAACAGGACGCCATGCTTGGAAAGATGACAGAGGTATTTATTGTACTCTAGGGCAGTGACCAGCTGATAGAGTATCAAGGTGGTAGAAATGAGATTTGCTCTCTATTTGGGTATAAACAGCTGACCTACTGGACCCTTCCACCATAGGTGCTATAGTATCCTCACATTAACATCTCTGGCACTCGGGTTATAAAAGTAACTAATCCTGAAACACAATAGTCACTTTGTTGGTTATTTTCTCTTCACAGTTTTCTCTCCTCAATCTTTCCTATAAAGTATTTTCTTTTCTTTTATACCTTACTCTCTATTTAATGAGCTTTCTCTCTGTCTCACAGACCCGTCAGCCGGTATTTGTGCAACTTCTCCAAGGAGTATTCAGGGTGTACCACTGTAACTGGCTTAACCCTGTGCAGAAGGCCTCAGTGGAGGCTTGCATTAAAGTTCTCTCAGACGTTGGTAAGAACCTGGGCTGACACCACACCACCCATTCATCCTCTCCAACAATCTCTGTTATTTTATTCAGAAAATGCTCTTTTTGGCCCCTGATAAAAGCATTTAAATATACATATCTGCGTGTTTACCTCCACCCAGCTAAAAGCAGAACCATTGCCATCCCTGTGGACTTGGACAGTCAGGTGAACAACTTGTTCGTCAAGTCCAATAATGTCGTGCAGAAGAGCATCCTCAGCTGGAGACTTTCTACTAAGAACACAACGAGACGAGACTCGGGCCTGACCTCCTCCAAAGACTACAGAAACATCATTGAGAGGCTACAGGTAGGTAGCGAAGCATAGCGTATTATGTGCATTATCAATATTAACATTTAAGGAGGCCTTATTATGCATTTTAGGGTTTTCCCTTTCCTGAAGTGTGTTATGGCGCATTTCCACTGCAGGGCCTCGCACGGCTTAGTACGGTATAGTTAGGCCTTGGTAGGCCAAGCTCACTTTATGCTACGTTTCCATTACAGTTTAGGAACTGGGGTAGTAACTATAGTAACGCAGTGTAGGCGGAGCCGTGACGTCATCTTCAATGAGAAACACAAAACCAACATCAGCCGTTAGCTGTTAGCCCTCAGAGCTCACAGCTCCTCATATCTGTTCAGAAACTAGACAGAAGTTAAACAAGTACAAACCACAGACTGTCTGTGTCATGGCGAATACAGTCGCTGGTTTATTTATGTCTGTATAGGCCGTTGTTGTGAGTGTGGTCGGTCGGAGCATATACTGCGT